GAAGATAAGATAGAAAGAGAGAGAGGGAAAGATAGAAAGAGAGAGAAGGAAAGATAGAAAGAGAGAGAAAGGGAAAGATAGAAAGAGAGAGAGGGAGGGATGGAAAGAGCGAGAGAGGGAGGGATGGAAAGAGAACGAGAGAGAGAGGGATGGAAAGAGAGCGAGAGGGAGGGATGGAAAGAGCGAGAGAGGGAGGAATGGAAAGAGAGCGAGAGAGGAAGAGATGGAAAGAGAGCGAGAGAGGAAGATGAAAGAAAGAGAGAGAGGGAGGAATGGAAAGAGAGCGAGAGAGGAAGAGATGGAAAGAGAGCTAGAGAGGAAGAGATGGAAAGAGAGCGAGAGATGAAGAGATGGAAAGAGCGAGAGAGGGAGGAATGGAAAGAGCGAGAGAGGAAGAGATGGAAAGAGAGCGAGAGAAGAAGAGATGGAAAGAGAGCGAGAGAGGAAGAGTTGGAAAGAGAGCGAGAGAAGAAGAGATGGAAAGAGAGCGAGAGAGGAAGAGATGGAAAGAGAGCGAGAGAGGGAGGAATGGAAAGAGAGCGAGAGAGGAAGAGTTGGAAAGAGAGCGAGAGAAGAAGAGATGGAAAGAGAGCGAGAGAGGAAGAGATGGAAAGAGAGCGAGAGAGGGAGGAATGGAAAGAGAGCGAGAGAGGAAGAGTTGGAAAGAGAGCGAGAGAAGAAGAGATGGAAAGAGAGCGAGAGAGGAAGAGATGGAAAGAGCGAGAGAGGGAGGGATGGAAAGAGAGCGAGAGAGGAAGAGATGGAAAGAGAGCGAGAGAGGGAGGGATGGAAAGAGAGCGAGAGAGGGAGAGATGGAAAGAGAGAGAGAGGGAGGGGGGGGTATCACAGAAGGCGCATTTCCTTAACAAAGGTCTCTTTTTCTGCAAGCAGCACTCGGACTCAGGATTACAGGTAAAGACGAGAATGCTTCTTTTTTCTGGCTTGAGAGTGTGCGGCATCACGGCACTAGTGCGAGAGGTGTCCGCTTTCGACTCGCGGGAGTCGGAAGGCAAAGTCACAACGATAATTAGTATTTGATTTATGAGCACCAATCCCCGCGTGGCTTTTGTGATTCCCATACACCCTTTTTTCCTTCCTGGAAAGATGACAGTGCCTATCCTAATCTGCCTTTGTAATTCCTTCTCTTTTTTTTCCCTTCCGCTTTCCCACTCCCTCTCCTAACTCTCGCCTTTTCTCCTTCTGCACCTTCGCCCTGCATCATCCTCTCTTTTTTTCTCTTCGCCCCTCTGCTCTTTCCGTTTTCCTCTGCCACGCCTCCTTTGCCTGTTTTCCCTTGGACTCCACTGCTCCCTCGCACAACGCGAATCTCCTTGTGAGACGGTCATCTCGTCGGCAGGAATGCAAGGGAGTCGAGAAGGGGGAGGAGGGGTGGTTGCAAGAGAGAGAGAAGTGGAACGGCAGGAAGGCGGAACGAGGAAAGGAAGGAAAGGTCAAGAAAGTGAGGGAGTGGAGCAATAGGAAAATGGAATAGGGGAGAGGGGGTGAGAAGGAACGGAAGGCATGGTAGGGCGAAGGATCAACGGAGACGGAAGTGGAGAAGAAAGGCAAGGAGCAAGGAAGATGGAGATGGAGCGATGGTTTGGAGGAGAGAGCAATGGAGAGAGTAAAGAGAGTGAAAGAAAGAGGAAGAATAAGGGTGTAAGAGAGGGGGAGATGAAGCAATGAAGAGGAAACAAAAAAGGAAGGTGGGGGCGGGGAGCAGGGAGGGAGAGAGGGTGAGAGAGAGAGGGAGGGAGAGAGGGAGAGAGGAAGAGAGAGAGAGAGAGGAAAGAGAGAGAGAGAGGGGGAGGGAGAGAGGAAGAGAGAGAGAGAGAGAGGAAGAAAGAGAGAGAGAGAGGGGAGGGAGAGAGGAAAGAGAGAGAGAGAGGGAGGGAGAGAGGAAGAGAGAGAGAGAGAGAGAGGGTGGAGAGAGGAAGAGAGAGAGAGAGAGAGAGAGAGAGGAGAGAGGGAGGGAGGGAGGAAGAGAGCGAGAGGGAGGGAGAGAGGAGAGAGAGAAGAGGGAGGGAGAGAGGTAGAGAGAGAGGGAGGGAGGAAGAGAGGAAAGAGAGAGAGAGAGAGGGAGGGGAGGAAGAGAGGAAGAGAGAGAGAGAGAGGGAGGGAGAGGAGAAGAGAGAGAGAGAGAGGGAGGGAGAGAGGAAGAGAGAGAGAGAGGGAGGGAGCGAGAGAGAGAGAGAGAGAGAGAGGGAGGGAGAAAGAGAGAGAGAGAGAGGGAGGGAGAAGAGGAAGAGAGAGAGAGAGAGGGAGGGAGAGAGAGAAGAGAGAGAGAGAGGAGAGGAGGGAGAGAGGAAGAGAGAGAGAGAGAGGAAGAGAGAGAGAGAGAGAAGAGAGAGAGGAGGGGAGAGAGAGAGAGGAGGGAGAGAGGAAGAGAGGGAGGGAGGCGAGAGAGAGAGGAGAGGGAGAGAGGAAGAGAGAAGAGAGACAGAGAGAGGGGGGAGGAAAGAGAGGAGAGAGAGAGAGAGAGAGAGAGAGAGAGAGAGAGAGAGAGAAAAGAGAAGACGAGAGAAGAGAGAGAGAGAGAAGAGAGAAGAGAGAGAGAGGAGAGAGAGAGAGGAAGAGAGAGAGAGAGAGAGAGA